TTTATCTTTCATGGGCTGAGATGCACATCTTAAATATACAACAGATGGATTTTTTCAATACATATACCTATGTAAGCATCTCCTGTATTAAGGTATAGAGTATTTCCATTACTCTAGAAGGCTTCCCCGGACACCTCAGTCAGACCCCTTTTCTGCTAATAATCTGACCACTGTCACCTTAGATTGGCTTTGCCTGTTTTTGAACTTCACTTAACAGGAATCCTATATAGCAAGTACTCCTGAGTCAGGTTCTTCTGCTCAGCATTGTGTCTGTGGCCTCCAGCCACACTGTTGCATGGACCAGTCATCCTTTTCTCATGCTGCCTAGTATGCCAGTGCATGAGGCTACCACAGTTTATTCATTGCAGTGTTGATGGACATTTGTGTACCTGCCAGTTTTTTTTTTTTAAGATTTTATTTAAGAGAGAGAGCACAAGCAGGGGGAGGGGCAGAGGGAGAGGGAGAAGCAGGCTCCTTGCTGAGCAGGGAGCCCAAAGTGGTACTCCATCCCCGGCCCCTGGGATCATGACCCAAGCCAGAGGCAGACGCTTAACCGACTGAGCCACCCAGGCGTCCCCTACAGGCCAGTTTCTTGTACTACATGTCTTCTGGTGGACAGGAGTATTTAGTTTGAGTATGTACCAAGAAGTGGAATGGCTGGGTATACATCAGGTTTAACTTCGGAGGATACTACTTGTTAAACAGTTTTTCTTCATGATTGTACCAGAAATCACATGTTAACAACAGAAAGGTAAGATGGACTGTTAAGAATGAAAAAGTAAGAAGTCTCAGAATGAAGAATTTTAACTTTTCAGAGACTATTCTACATTGTCCTTATTATTCTCCACTGGAAAATAATTTTTCCTGCCATTGGGTCTTCTAGTGTAATCAAGGAGTCATTAACGAGTTGATTCTGAAAATGTATTTACTGAAACTATTTTATGTTTTTCTTTAAAATTCTTTAGAAACATGTTTCTGTTTGTTTTGTGTAAATGTTGTACTTTGTGAAGAAAGACATGGTCCTTTAACTCAGAACAAGTCGAATACAGTTTCTGGGTTAGACCCACTTGGTTAGAGGGCCATTTTAGCTAATGCAAGGCACTTAACTTGATGGCAGGGAAAAATCCGTTTCCTTAAAAATAATAAAAGGAGAGGCACTTAGGTAGCTTTAACAAAAGCTTCACCATTTTGAAGGTGATGACCCTATGATTTCTGCCTTGACCTCTTAAAGGCAGGTATGTGGGTATCTGAGAAACCAATGAACAGTTACTTGAAAGCAATAAAGAGCACTTGATAACTGGATACCCTACTCTTTGGGGATCCATACAAGAAACCAAAAGAAAATTGGTTGATCAATATTTTGCTGTTATTTTAGAAAAAAACTTTTAATGATTCCAGGTTAGTAAATCAGGAATTGGTTTTTAACTAACATGAATTCTTCCAGAGGCAAATGACCCTTTCCCCCTTCTCTGAAGGGGGAACTAACATTCTCTGAAGGTAAAATATTATGAATTAGGTGGCAGGGGAGTTAAAAAATTTAATGTGAGGGCTCTTACGGTCTTCAGCTTTTTTTTTCCCTTAGAACTTATGTATGCATGTGTTTGAAAAGGGCAAAAATTTCTACAAAGCTTATTGTGAAAACTATCCTTTGCTTTCCCCTTGTCTCTCCTTTTCTGCTCTGGGGAGCCACTTTCTTTCTCTCTTTTTTTTTTGTTGAGAAAGAGATTGAGCATGGGATGGGGGGTGAGGAGCAGAGGGAGAAGCAGACTCCCCACTAAGCATGGAGCCTGACGTGGGGCTTGATCCCAGGACCCTGGGATCATGACCTGAGCCAAAGGCAGCTGCTTAACCAACTGAACCACCCAGGTGCCCCTGAGAGGAACCACTTTTTGACTCTAATTTTACTTTTACCTCCATTTCTTGAAATAGCATGTTTATTTCTTGATTTTTTTTTCATGAAAAGGCATTATCTATTTACTTCCCAGTTGGAAGGTGAGAAATGAGCTCTTTCCTACCCACCTCCCATTATTGAACTGTGATAGTGGTTAGATCAGTATTTGGCACTTACATTATTATGACTTTCTAAATTATATTCCTATTTGAGCCTTCTTGTATATTGTGTCTGTATTTCCTTACTTTATACGGCTTTTTGCTTTCCTTTGAGTTATAAAGATACTGTTTTTTGTTGTATGTGAGTACTTATAATTAGCCTCAAGCTATGCACCAGGTGTTGACATCTCCTCTTGCTCAGTATGCTCAGTTGTATCAACTGAGCATATCTTCCTGATGACGTCTCTGCTAGAGTCTTCTGATCTGCTCCAGTGGATGCTGGCTGCCCTTTTGCCCGCTGTTCAGCTGTCATTCCTTCAGCTCTCCCCTGTGTTGGAATTCTCACTTCCTATATCATTCCCCATATCATTTTCTTTCTTGATTTATTCCCTTTTTGTTGGAGCACAATCTCCTATAGATTTTTGGGAAAGAATGCATGGGGAATGAATTTTGGGAGGATGATGCATGTCTGAAGAGGCTTTTCCTAAAGTCATACTTAATCAGTAGCTTGCTTGGGCACCTGGGTGGCTTAGTTGGTTAAGTGACTGCCTTCGGCTCAGGTCATGATGGAGTCCTGGGATCAAGTCCCGCATCGGGCTCACTGCTCAGCGGGGAGTCTGCTTCTTCCTCAGACCCTCCCCCCATCAGGTGCTCTCTCTCTCTCTCTCTCTCTCATTCTCGCTCTCTCAAATAAATAAGTAAATAAAATCTTTAAAAAAAAATCAATAGCTTGCCTGGGTACAGAATTTTTTTTCTGAGATCTTATTTATATGAGCGAGAGAGAGAGAGAGAGAGAGAGCGTGCGCATGAGCAGGAGAAGGGGCAGAGGAGGGAGAAGCAGACTCCCCCTGAGCAAGGAGCCTGACAAGGAGCTTGATCCTAGGACCCCGGGATCAAGACCTGAACCAAAGGCAGATGCTTACTGACTGAGCCACCCAGGCGCCCCTGGGTAGAGAATTTTATGTTTGAAAATTTTTACCTTTAGACTTTCTTTATTTCTTCATTCTCTTCTTGTTTCCATGCTTGTTAAAAGTCTGAAGCTGTTCTGATTCCTGAGTCTTCATAATTTAACTGTTTGAAAACCTATAGAATCTTCTTTGTTTTACTTTTTTTTGTTGTTATTCTAATTGATACTTGATAAGACCTTTAAAACTGGAAACTTATGTTCTGCAGTTCTAAGTTTTTCTTGAATTAATTTCATTTTTATGATTTCCTTCTCACCTTTCAGAAACTTAGTTTGATGTTGAGTCTCATACACTGGTCATCTTATTTTCTTATCTCTGCAGTTTTTCCATTTCTGATTTTTTGCCTCCGTTTTCTGGGTGAATTTTTCAACTTTATTTTCCAAACCTTCCACAGAGATTTCCATTTTTACCACATTTTTTTTCAGTCTGGTTTATCAAGGTGTTATTTACATAAATAAAATCTACCTTTAAAAAAAATAAAATCTACCTTTTTAGCATTCAGGAAGTTATTAGTTTTCTGTGATGCATAACAAATTAGCCCTGACTTAGTGGCTTTCAAACAACATGCATTTATTCTGTCCAAGTTTCCGTGGGCCGGGAGTCCAGGCACCGTGTAGCTGGATCTTCTGGCTTTGGTTCTGACGAGGCTGCAGTCATGGTGTCAGCTGGAGCTGGGGTTTCCTCTGCGGCTTGGGTTCTAAGCTTGCCTTGTGTCGGCAGGATTCATTTTCCTGCAGTAGTGGAACTGAGGCTGACAGCTGGAGGTGGCCCCTCTCCGTAGGCAGTTTCGTACCGTGGCTGTTGGTTCTTCAAGGCCAGCAGAAGAGCAGTTTTCTGGCTTTGGTTTCTGACCACTCAGACCCCTTTTAAAGGGCTTGCCTGACTAGGCTCGGTCTACCCAGTATGCTCCCTTTTGATTAATTTAAAGTCAACTGATTAGGGGCCTTAATTACATCTGCAAAATCCCTTCATCTTTGCCATATTAACACAACATAATCACAGTATCATTTATCATATATATTTGGCTGTTGTTTCCTATTAAGAGTAGACATTCACTCAGGAGCTGTGGGTGGGTTATTGTATGTGTTACCATGATAGAATCTGGCAGAGCCATTGTCTTGTGCAATCCTTGGTTGCATCCTTTTTGATTCCCCATTTGGACTGGTAAACCCCTCTGAGAAAGATCTTAATAATCTCTGGCCTAGAGGTTGGTGGCCCAGGGGCCGGCATTCTGGGAGCCAAGAGAGGGAAAGGGACAGACGGTGTTTAAGATGTAAGTATTCATGCAGTCTCCCAGTGTCAGTGTTACCCCACCCTCATCTCTGCCTCTTGTCCCCTGCTCCAGAGACTTTTTGTTTTACCTTCTCTCCTGGGGGAGAAAACTCTTAACTTTCTGCGATGACAGGGGCAGTTGCTTGGCCAGGTGGAGGTGGGCGAGGTTATTGAGCAGTGGAGGCGTACTGCTTTTTAAGTAGATTTTAAAGCAGTCCTTCAGCAGTTAGTACCACCTTCACCCCAGTTCCAGAGTTTACTTGCTGTTACCGGTGTCACCAGTTCCTGAGCCCTCGTGGGGATTTTACTGAAGAAATCAAATTGTTTCCTGGCGTTTTCCATTACTGGCCTAGGATGAGCTTTTTAGGGTATGCTGGGTCAGAGCAGTTGTCCCATCTGCCTTCCACCTTCTAGAAGTTTATGGCTCTTACCTCTTACATTCTCTCTCCCTGCCCTCCTTTTCAAGTAAGTTTATGCCTTCAAAAAAAATACTTTCACTGGCATTTTAATGGGATTTTGAAAGGGCTCGAAGGAAGCGTGTGTTCAGTACCTCACCCTTCAGTGGGAAGTCTGAACAAACACAACCTCTGGTGACGTTTATTGGGGTGAAGTTCTGTGATAAAACTTTACGTGTGTTATTTTATTTGATCTGCCCAGTGTTTGCATATAGGTTAGGAACTGGAGGTTTCCATGTTTTATAGATGAGGGACTCACGGCTTAGAGAGGTTCCCTTGCCCACAGCCACACAGCTAGAAAGCAGGAGAGCCGGTGCGTTTCAGCCAGTGATCTTCCTTTTCCTTCTTGAGCCATCGTCCTTCCTTCCACAAGAGCAGACTTCGTCCTGTTACACTCAGGGAATGTTACGCTCACGTCCGCGGGCCAGTTTGTGGTCATCCTTACTACTCCCCACCTCCTTGTTCACCGCCCTCGCCAAGTGCTGTGCATTTGCCTCAGCATCTCGGAATCTCCAGGGCCACGCCCCTGGTCAGAGCTGGGCCCAGCTGCTGCATTTCTCACCTGGACTGCTGTGGTCACCTTAGTCTTCTAACGTCTCCCGCCCTCCACTTGGACAGTTCTCTCTTCCCTTCTCTGCACTGCAGCTGACATCTCTTCAAAATGCAGGCATATCTCATCGTGACCCTGGCTGACCAAAAATGGCCTCCCGTTGGTTTTAGGAGGGAGATCAAAATCCTTGACATGGTTGCGAGACCCTACCTGATCTGATCCTGAACCATTTCCTCTTGCTGTCTGAGCTGCTGCCATACAGGCTTTTTCTTGGGGCCTCAGACACACCAGGCTTGCTGCAGTGTGATAGCAGAGGGGGGTGGTTGCATTTCTCTTTGCAGGTGCAGGCACTGGTAGCTACAAGTACACATCTGCAAGACTGTTTCTGTGAGCTACCGTCTACAGGAAAAACGAAGGAGGGAGGACCCCCTTCTCTGATTATCACTGTTGATAATGCTGTTTGCAGTATTTGATGGGGGTGAATGTCGTGGACACACCACAGCGTAAGGCTCCCAACTATTTTGGCCTTGATTCAGTAACCTGAGTGTATCACTTCCTCTGTTCTCCTTCAACGCTGGGGCTGTCTGGGAAGTGTGGGGAAAAGCAGAGACTCTCCTGTAGTCATGTGTCTTAGAGTACTTTCTTGATTTTTGGACAGGATATTCAGACTTGATTTGATGTACTTATTTCACTCCTCCCCAAAATTGAGCAGCAATCTCTGAATATTAAAGGTCAGCAAAACCTGCAAAGAGCAGGTAGCAATGTAGCCCAGCAACTCCTCCAGGAATGTTGTTCCCTGTATTAAGGTTTTCCCCTGCCCTCTGTCACATCTTGACAGTACCAAGAGCGACAACTGGAATGTGGTTCTTTAGGAACTCAGCTTGCTCTTTCACTAGGAGGAGTTATCAGGAGCTCACTTCTGTTTTTAAGAAGCATTCTTTTAACCAGACTTTGAATATCTTTTATAATTTAATACCCAAAGTTAAATCAAAAGTGAGTGTTCTGTTACAAAAGAAATTGTTTAGTAATTAACCTAGGGTTTCACACATCCAGCTTTATAGAGCAAGAAGTTGTTTTTTTTTTTCTCTGTCTTTGCAAAATGAGATAGGAGGGTGTTCTCCAAAAAACCTCACCACTGCTACAGACCTTCAGAATTTCGGCTGGAGTGCACTCCCCGTTTGGCCAGTTTGGCCTAATGAGGGAGAAGAGAGAGGGCTGAAGGTGGGAAGTTTAAGTTGGCCCATCAGACTTCATGCCTACTTTCTGTCTACATCTGCAGACTCTTCTCTCTCTCTCTCTCTCTGCTGCCTGCCTTGTGTTTTATTTTCTAGCCATTGAACTTGTTTTAGTTCTCTGAAGTCATTGTCATCTTTGCACACGTTTTCCCTCTTTATAAAGAACACTGCACCGTTGCCAGGCAAGGCTGGTACTGTAGCCTGTCCTCAAAGGACCCTTCTTCCGAGAAGCATTGCCAGAACTCTCTGGGCTAGGTGAGATGTGGCTGCTATGTGGTCCCTCGCACCACAGCATCTTCCACTTACCTGTTGGAGCTTAATACACATTATAACTGTGTCGTTTTAATTAATCATCTTTCCCAGTAGTTGGTAAGCTTTCTGAAATTAGGAGCTGGGTCTCATCTGTTTACTACTCTTTTACCATTCCTAGCATGGTGTCCAGCACATAAAAAATGCTCAGTGAACATTTGATGAATTAATAGATTAGTGAAACCAGGAACAGTTCAGATAAAAAGATTTTTGCAATATCACCTTGAGGCTGATAAAAGAGAATGGGACATAATAAGCCCAGCCTTAGTGCTGTATTCCAGATTTGTCGGAAAGTAAGGGATGTGCCTAATAGTGATGACATGTACTCTATCACAAGATTGTGCACCTGTGTGCAAGGTGAGGGTTTGGAAATATACACTCAGCTATGCCAAGCCAACTACATTAAATTAGTCAGGTAAAGCTTTTTATTTTTAAATGTCCAAAGTTTATTCTGTATCTTTAGGAGGCAAGGAGTCAACAGCTCTTGAGCTGTCAAATCAGAAAAAGTTTGCACATTTACATAAACGAATTTTTAAGAATCTTACCGAAAGCTTTTGGGGAGGAAAATTCATAATTCAAGGAGCTGGGATTGTAAATGAGAAATCACACTGCACATTCCCCATTGCCATTAAAGGAACTGTAAAATGTTAATGGCAGTCTCTGTTCCTCCAACCACATGTGGTCTGTTCTGCTTTTCTTGCTCTTAAATGAGAAGTTCTACCACTGTAGTTCTTAGGATATAATAATCCATATAGTTTGGAAAAGAATACTGTATTTACTTATTTATTTTTAAAGAACACTGTATTTAGATAACTGAGGTAGGACATTTACCATTTCCAGACCTACTGTCAATGCAGTATTATCCCTTTGTTTCCTCCTATTCTAGAGAGGTCAGGATTTATGAACCCTGCTGATTTGTGAGCCCAGTGCTTCTCCATGAGGACAGAAATAAATTATTTCTGTATCACTAGTTTAGGGAGTTTGTTTTCCAGGAGATAGACATTTATTTAAGATCATTGTTACTTCTGGGATGCCAGGGCTGCTCAGTTGGTTGAGCAGCTGACTCTTGATTTCAACCCAGCTCGGGTCATGATCTCGGGGTCCTGGGATTGAGCCCCGTGTGGGGCTCTGAGCTCAGGGGGGAGTCTGCTTCATCATTCTCTCCCTCTCCCTTGCACCACACCCTGTACACACAGTCACTCTCTCTAAAATAAATAAGTGAAAATCTTAAAAAAAAAAAAGATAAGTGTTACTTCTGTAGACTTCACACACATGCACGCACACACGCACTCACACATACACCCTGCCATTGCCACTCTAAACATCTAGAGAAGACAGAATGTTGAGTTGGAAAATTGTTAGTAACTGTTTTCTTAGCTTGCTTCAGTTTGTTTTCCTTTTTTCTGGGTCCTTTTCTAGGCTTTCTTGGCCTGGGGGCAGAATTGAATAGTAGGTATGAATTTCAAGGTGACAGCTAAGCTTACTTGTCAACAGAAAGCAGTCACCAGGCCAACCACAGTCTTAATCTCATTTCATGCATCTTTGCCCTGAGGCAGAAATTTTCAATCATAATTTAGAGGAACTGAATAGAGATTCAAACTTGCAGATATCTTAGAAATGTGAAAAGATGTCAAAGAATGAATTTAGAAACCTATTGTGTATTGGGAAATGCTTTTTAATATTGGTAAATTTTTGGTTATTGGTTTTAAAGGTTTTCCAGGGCTCCCCACAGCTGGTAGCTAACTTTGCCTGTACACAAATGTAAGAACACAGATTTAGGTGAGAGTGTGAAAAATAGATACATAAATAGACAGACAGCTAGGGCAGTGGTTCTGGGTGGGAGTTGTGAGTTTTGCTCCCCTCAGGAGATACTTGGCAATGTCTAGGGACATTCTGATTGTCGCAACTCCAGCAGTTAGAGGCAGGGATACTGCTAAATATCTTATCATGCACAAAAATGTCGATGGTGCTGCTGTTGAGAAACCCTGATTTGATATACAGGTGGATAGTAACACATATAAAACCTGGGAGTATAGAAGTCTTTGTTTTGGGGGATTTCTTCCAGAATGTAAAATTACTTAAGGAAACAAAATTCATTCCAATTCTTTCTCCTATCGGCATATATTCAATATGGTGGGTTTGGCCATGTCACACGCATGCCCTTTCAAAGCCATAGCCAGGAAGCTTATACATTCTTCAGAGCTATTCCTTTGGATGTAGAGCTGTGCTGGTGGAGGCATGCGTCAGAGGTCCAGAGGCCAGGGCCCCGTGCCAGGGAGGCAGCCTTGAGATAAGGCAGTGTTCTTGAATGTAATCTCTTTTCTGTAACTTTCTGCCTGTGCCCTCTTGATTCTGAAGTACTTCTGACATTATGCTAAAGGGTTAGTCTTTCCTTTGCCTCTGTTCCACCCAGCTGGCCCCCGTCATAGTGTGACGCAAAAATTGAGAAGACAAAGGAATAAGGCAGAAAGGGGTGAGACAGGTGGTGTGAGTGCACAATTGCACCTGATGTACAGATTATTTGTTTATGATGTTTTAGATGATTTGTACTTAATGACAACTTTTTGTCACCTTTTGTATCTACAGCTGAGTTGTTTGCTGAATTTTTGGAGTACTTTCCTTCTATTCCACTTTAGGTCTGTTTGTAATAAAAAAGCTGAGTCATCTGTGTATAGTAGCCAACACGAGGTTATAGGTATGAAAATAAAATGGGCTTTATTTGACTGACAAAAAAAATTAAGAAGACACCATATAGTATAGTGATGGGGCTACAAGTTATAACTTGAAGATTTTAGAATTGTTTTGAAAAATGCAAACATTTCAAGCTTAACTTTTTCTGAGTTCCTAGTTGGTGATATTGCTGTAAAGGAGCAATGTAACTTCTGTCTGAAAGGGTAATATATGTGTGCTTTGTCTCTTTATCATTTAAGATAGATTTGACTGTATATAAATAGAAAAAAAGCCCCCAAAACTAAAGAGTTTCCACCATCAAGAGAACTCAAAATAACAGTGACTTAAATAAGCTAGAGGTTTATTTCCTGGGCAAAAGAAGCCAGAAGTAGGCAGTCTAGGGCTCGTATGACTGTTCCACAAACATTCATGCCCAGTCTCCCTACATCCTGTCCTGCCACCTTGGTATGAGGTCTTTTCAGCTAAGGTGGGAATCTTGAGCTCA